AATGTAAATATTTGTTACAATAAACCTACTTCCAGCCTACAGAGAAATAATGTGGATACGAAGGTAGGAGGAAAGACTGGATTTTGTTATATGTGGTGCAAGGACAGTACATCTAATTCCATTTTAAATAAAATAGATATGATAAAAATAGTTCACACCAACTCAGAATTTATGCTTTTAAAGCATATGCTAATAATAAGTCCAGCATTATTCTTAATTATAAAATCGTAAACAATATGCATAGTATCGCAATTAATATTAAAGGATAAGCAAGTTAAAAGTCATTTTCGAGACTCAAGTACCCCAAGTTCTCTTCTAGAAATTATGTTTTGCTGTTTCAGCCATAGGACAAGAATGGACTCAGTATTCACAACTCCATTCTTTGTCATTTTTTTATGGAAATGAAGGATGATAATCTATTGATAAGATTTATCTGCAAGAAGCTAACTGAATCAGTTTTACTAGCTGCGGCAGATAGCTGTACTGGGTAAATGTCAAATTTGAGCCTTTTGTTGGGCTTAATCGGTTACAAGCCTCTCGTGAACAGGATAAATAGTTCTAAAACGAGTGAAAAAGACAGGCAAAACAAAGAACTTGCTCTACAAAAAAGGTAATCAACATAGAAAGCATAGCAACGTCGATTTGTTGATCAACTTCTGACAGATCTGATCCACTAAACGAACTTATTCTTTGCACTCAGTGAAATGATGCTCATCATGGGTTAACCAGAACACCACTCCGAGCTTGCTGCTCGCTTCCTTAGCACATAACCTATTCTTGCTCTAAAATCAAAGTTGGATCTAGCATGAGAAAGTAAAGCTCTTCTCCAAATTGCCAAGGATGCAGAATTTTTCAGATTTGAATTTAGCTCACTGATGGCATGTTTATACTTAATTTCAAAGTTAAAACAGGTTTAAAAACAGCTTTTATACATAAAAACTATTTTTCAACTGAGTCTACAATTTGTTGGGACAAAAATGATAATTGTAGTGTTATATTGTATCTTTTTATGAAAGCCATGCTTTAGATGCCTCGATTTGCCTGCACACATCTTGCCTGCCACATCTTCCCTGCCACATCTTGCTACTTAGGCAAAACTATATATTTTGCTTATCTATCAGGCTGTTATAACAACTATTGTGAAAGTAATCCTTACCCAACCGAGTAAGCATTGGAGCGGATATACTAAATTTAGTCTGAAATGTAACTCCAAACTTGCTTGAGTAAAGATTATTTAATTGTCCATCATCAAGCATTGCAGAAGTATGTATTGAAAAGAAAGCCAGAGGGCTCCAACTATCTTACTCGTGTACTAATAAATCAGTAATTAGTAGAGAATATATTTAGGACATAGATGCTAGGAAAGATTATTAGATGGCGCCTGATGATTTCGAAGACTGTTGCTGACAGGTTTATTTCTATCACGAGGCCCGGGTCTTCTAATTAAGCCTACTTGACACTCCACCGGAGCTGCAGCTGTAGCCCATTGTTGAACATCTATTTCATGGTTGATATAAAGAAATTCCTTCCTTTTAGCTCAAGTATAATGCTAACGATAAAAATGTATTCAGTCATACTACTACTGGTCACACATATTGTCATAGTGTCCTATAGGGCGCTTGTACAAGTAGACCATCATAGGCTTCTTAGTACTAGTTCCCGGATTATTTCAGCAAACAATGAATTCTAAAGGCTTATTTTTTTATAGATTTGCTTATACAAAGCCCTGGGCAGGCGCTTATTTAGCCGCTTAATTGTGGAAGTACCCCATGCAATTGTGTGTGTTTATTTGCATAGGGACAAAAACATTAGGACTTTTTTCTCGTGGAACAATTTGTAAATGGTAATGTGTATATTTATCTGCAGGTTGAGTAAAATTATTTAAATAATCTTTGCTTGTCAGTGAACTTTCGCCTAAAGGCCGATACCACTGTTTTCGTAGGCTTCATACTCTTCGAGCAAATTATGCTCGATTTAGTTGTCGTACGATGTCAAGTTACCTCCACCATAGCGGCTAAATATTTTATTGGCAGGTGGAAAACAGGATGCATTTAGAGATGATATCGTTGACAGTCCCTGCTGTCATAACAAAAATGCATACAGGCCAGATTTAAAGGCGACTTGATAAGAGGTCATGCCCGAAATTTTCCATAGGATTTGATGCAGTGGCGATAGTTTAGCAGTAAATGCATCGATGGAATAATAATTGGACGATTGGATATATCATTGAATTGGTGGGCAAACAAGCGATTAACTAGTTATGAGCGAGTGAGGTTGCGATTATCACATCCTATTCGTGTTTACTGAGGGTCATGAACTCAGTAGTTTGTCGCGTAGGAACCAGGATACTTATGGGGTTGACCTTACATATGTGACAGCTCTGCATCCTTGATCATACCCAAAACTAAAAATAAACATTTGAAGAGGATGTTAGGACAGAAGGTAATAACCGGTGAATGATTGTATGCAGATTGCTTGGGCGAAGGTTAACTAGTACTGCTGACTGCCAAAGTATCCAGAGGACAGAACGATTTATTCAATTGATTGCTGCTTTGACTCATAATTTTTATCTACACGAACAGATTAATTGGGTCTTTGCGATGGAAATATGTCCAACTTTGTTCTATTAAAGTATATGACACAGTACATCAATCTGGTGGGCTAGTAAAATGGCTCATTAGGTACACGCTTACAACACGTAAAAAGATGATAATAATAATTGAATTATGAGTGGTTGTTATCAGTTGCTGATGTGGGAAGAATATCGAGGTATGAAATTCTGAGACTTGTGAATAAATCAATATATGTAATTCCAAATGGGAGGCATTTGCCTACATTTTTTATTAAAGTCTAAATAACTAACGACCTTGTAACCATTCGACTCGAGATTCTGGTCGTGATCTGGCCAATATATTATTTTTAGATCGTCACTTGTGGCATTTTGTGGACAATAGAAAAGGGCCTTCTCTCCCTTCCCCCTTTAACTCATGCTAGATAAAAGCCCATACCTGTGTGAATTATAATCAAATTGACGAGTTTCTTATAATAGTGTCCTTAATAAAATACTAAATTATCATTATCTTTAAAGTTATTAGGTACACTACTAATTGTATCCAGGCGTAACTCCCATAATTAACAAATGAATGGGGATAAAATCAAGAGAGGAGAAGAGATAAGAGAAGGGAATGAAAGGTAATAAAAAGAAGAGAGAAAAATGATGGGTTTGAGTCTTCACTCAGATGGGATCGGATGAAATTGACGATTTACGAATTAGAGCTTATTGCAATGAAGGTGAGCTCAGATAAGAATAGCTACTTTATGTTTTTATTTTTTCTATGCCAGTGTTGGATGACGATTTGAGCCCTTATCGACAATTTGTTACTTAGACAGGTGAAAATCTTTTCACATTTGACAAATTTTTGGATATAACCTTGAATTATACGGAGGTGATTAATTTAATTCTTGTCAGACATGACATTATCATAATTGATATTTATGCGTCTGACTTGTCTTGAGCAGATGCACACATACGAGAATGCTAGCACGCAATTATGCCTGACACTGAGCTTGTGTATATACCCCGTTTAGTATTTGTGGTCGTGAGTGTGATTTTATTTTTCTGTTAGACGCGCAAGTATGCTGAATTGTGAATGGAGCTGACTTTTTAGCATGCTAATTTAGTTAACCTAACAACTCATCTCTGTCTAGTGCATGCATAGAAGCCTACCGAAGAATGACGTCAAAATTAAACATCGTAATGGATAGGGCACTAAAGAAACTGTGATTTTGTAATGTTGGGACACCTTTTGCCAAGACCAAAACAACAAAAGCCATTTTTAAGGAGTATAATCTACATAATTATCAACTTATCTAACTGAAACCATATAGAACAAACTTTCAATATGGTCACATGGAAGGGAACATTAGAGGATTTCCTCAAGTTAATAATCAAATTCACAATGGATGCAGAGGAAGAGGGTCGTATGGATTTCCTAGATGTGGAGGTCATTCAATCTACTGGGACACTAAAGAGTTAATTGTTTTGAAAGAGGTCATATGGTGCAATGGTACTCAATTTCGAGTTTAATCGTGCCTACAGAATGAAGATGAGAATAATGAGGAACATGCTCGTCATGGGTCTACGACTGATGGACGTGGAATTGTGGGATGAAGAATTAGAAAAATTAACTTGGTTACGCCTCGGCAACGGCTACCTGTGAGAAGAAGTGCAAAGAGATATAATGGACGTGATGAGCTGATGGCAGGATGGGGATTTTGAAAGAAAGGTAAAGATGGAGAAAGACTCACAAAAGTAGAATTGCCTCCCTTCCTGATAACTATCCCAACTACTACGGCCAATATTGAGAAAATGGAATATTCAGGTGACCACGAAGGAAAAAACAACAAACTTCACAAGTCTACCCACGCAATATGAGAGGGGAGACAAATTTGATACCTCGGTGGTTTACTGCATAGCATACAGCGCCTGCAAACAGAAATAAATTTGCGAAACTGGGTGAAAAATGAGTATGCGAATCAGGAAAATTAAAGGCTCTGTAGAAAAAATGGACACTGAAAGATCAGATATAGAGAAGCACATAGCACAGAGTGGATATGAGATCAATTGAAAAGCAACAAAAGAAGGGCCTTATATGGTGGCCATTGTCATCTTTGGGGATAATATTTGATGAATAGAAGATTGGAACAAGGCAGGATTAGTGATAACTCTGCGTATTGCCTAATCAAACCCAGTGAAAACAAGGACTTGACGAGACGAACCACAAGGTTATTTCTGGATTAAGGATCTATCGTTAGCCAGAATAAAAGCGATCGCATGGAACAAGAGGGTGTGAAAGTTTCGGATATCAAGCGCAGACGTTGTCAGTGCGTGTAGTCAGCCAGAAGAAATAACTACAATTTTGGGGGCCCGACGTTTCACGTGACTAAAGCGAGGGATTGGGTCACATAAATTGGGCATTATGACGAAACTGACTAGAAATTCACTTGAGAGATAGCAGTTGACCAGAGATGGAAGTGCACAGTTTGTTCAGGGTACGCGGGTTTATGAATAAGATGATGCGTGTGCAAGTGTTGGAATCCGAGAATAGGCGGTTTGAGGGTAGGGCTGTTAAGAAACAGCGCGTCGAGTGAAATCGGTCACGCAGAAAGATTAGAAACGGATTTACGGGCCAATAAGGCAGATGCAGACATGAGGCTCGAGTCGGATTAGCCACTGGAAAAAGAGGGGAGCAAGGCAAACAGAAGATGTGATGACGCCGCGGTAAATTCGCCCAAAGGGCACAGCTCTTGTGGATCATAAACACGTCAGAAGTTGCGATAGGACGAGGGCGAGACTAGAGGTTAAGAAGTGTATGGAGGGACCAGGACATAACGAGAAATGAGAGCACAACCGCCTCGACAGAAAGTTGGTCAATGATGGACTTCACTTGTCTCTTTGACGAGTTTTAGTTTAGTGCTGAGAATGGCAAGACTCACTGACCATGCCGACTAGGATGCCGGCGAAACGCCTTGAAATGTAGCAAGTCCACTGTCAGACTCTGGAAATAATCATGCATACTATGGACTCCGGACAAGGTGTCTTCCTGTTAATATGGCCAAGTTGCGAATACAGATTAAATGACTACGACCAAAATAGATGGCACAACATCTTGGTCTTCATATCTCATATCTCCATTTAGCAAAAGCTCTTTTTAGTTGCCTGAAAGTAATTTTTATGTAAAGATAAATCCTCCTCCTTTACTCGAATACCCAATTAATTGAGATCTCGGAATCCTATATCGAGAAGTATCACCACAAAACTATGGTCCAGAACATATGAAAGTAATCCTTTATATGCCAATTAATCATTCAAATAAGCCTGAGAATTCTTATAAAAATTGAAAATGGCATCTGGAATAGAATCTATACCATAATTAAATAACTATTATAATCAACAAGTACTGGAAGTTCGAGCTTCTGCCTCATAAACTTCCCATTTGCGGTTGATTCTGTGGCCTAAAAATATAAAGGTCGTTCTTAATTATGAGCCATTAGATTTGATTCAAGGCAGTATGAGGCTTAAATGAAAATGCTATCACTGCTCTTGACCATGTTATGTGAATATTGCATTCTCTATTCAATCCTTCAAAGCGTAATATGTACGTAATTCATCTACTATAACAATGTGAATACAAAAGTTGGCGAAGGAAGCAATCCAGCTTTAAAAGTTGCTAGTTTGCATTTGGAGAGCCAATTAAGAAAAAGTGAGATAGAAAATAGAAAAGCATTTTTGCCTTGGGCATTACAACATAATACTTCAATGCCTTTTACTAAAAGACGTTAATTCAAAAGCAAGTTGAAAAGTGAACAATTACTTTGAGGATACTTAAATCCAAATAATTATATATAAAAAGGTCAACCTGATTTTCATGATAATACTTTAATAAGAACACTTCGAAGTAACTTCCTTTTTTAGAATATATCTAATATTTGCGTAAGTATTTTAACTCAAATTAGCCCCTAAATGCATATATAACAAAGTTAAATTTTGGTAATTTTCCGATAAATCAGCTAAGGAAATGGCTAAATTAAGTTTCTTATTTGCTCTTTTTCAAAAAGTCAACTCTAATAATAGGCATGATAAAGCACATAC